TAATTATCTACAAAACAATTAGCCTGTTTTTTTCAAAATTATAAAGAATTATATAGCCTATTAAGTATCTATTTAATCTAATAAAACGATCTTATCACCTATCTCCTAGGTTTAACCTTTTTTTAAGCCAGACAAAGCATCTGTCCCAACTTTTATTATATATTGAGTCTTTCTTATCTTTTAATATATATGTTAACCTGTCCATCTCAGCACATCGAAGAATCTTATTTATTATCAGATGGTCAGGGGGTGTATCTGCATCTTTCCACAGTTGGGCAAATGCCATTCTCGCCGCCGTTGAGACATGGACAAATATGTACCAATCCTTGTTGTCAATGTGGTCCGGTCTTATTCCTAGTAAGTAGAGGTCTGGGTGAAGGGGAAAGCTCACACCTGTTATTTCCAGCAGCCACTGCTGTATTTTCCCCCAATAATGTCTAGTCAACGGACAAATCCACCACTGATGGAAGAAAGTACCCTTGGCCGACCCACATTTCCAACATCTATTAGAGGATACTGGGAACATCTTAGGATTCTGGCGGGGGGGGGGAGATACCAACGGTAGATCATATTATAAAAGTTTTGAATGGGGAAGAAAGGGTCAGTTTCATAGTTTTGTTCCATACATTTTGCCATGCATCAAGCAGAATTGTTGTTCCAATATTTCTCCCCCAGGCAATCATCGTGTCCTTTACAATCTCCTCTGCCATAAAATTGTAAACGTTGGAAATAAATTTCCTTCGGCCACTTAGGAGAAACTTGTCAAAAGTTTGTAAATGAAGGGAAATACCATGTTCCTGTTTATCCCTAGCGAATCTAGTTTGAATTTTCGCATAGGACCACCAATCTATATCTAATCCTCTAGTTTGGAGATCGGCTCTAGGTCTAAGTCTCCCAACTTCATCCAACAAGTCACCATAAACCCAGTTCCTCTTTGTGTTGTGCACAGTTGGAAGGGTCACTGCCTCTAACGGAGACACCCATTTAGGAATCTGTGTGTAAACTTGCTTCTTCACCATTTCCCAAACTCTTAATAAAATTCCTCTAATATAATGATTAGTAAAATGTTTGGATTGTTTGTCTTTCTGAGACCACAAGAAGGAATGCTGTCCCCACTGCAAATCATATCCTTCAATTGCCAAAATGCGCTTTCTTGAGAGGATCACCCAATCTTTTATCCAAACCAGGGATGAAGCTTGGTAATAAAGCTCCCACATAGGGAGCCCCAAGCTGCCCCTTGTTTTGTGCTCTTGCAGCATTTTTCTTTTTATATGGGGTTTTTTACTCTGCCAAATAAATTTGCTTAGAATTTGATCTAATTTCCTAAAAAAGTTTTTATCCAATCTTGCAGGAGCCGTTTGAAATAAAAAGATCCATTTCGGTAAAACATGGGCTTTTATCGCGGCAATTCTATCCAAAAATGAGATCTGAATATGCCGCCATCTCTCCACTTCATTCGCTGTGTCTATTAATAATTTGGAATAATTGAGCTCCTTGATAGAAGAATATCTATTTGTAAGCCAAATACCTAAGTATTTAAGTTTTTTGACACAATTAATCCCCATAGTACTTTGGATCTGTTTCTTTTGGGCACCTGACAAATTTTTTGTTAACATTTTGGTTTTATCCTTATTGATTTTTAATCCCGCTATTCATCTAATTTAGTAAGTACCTCCCCGTATTCATCTAATTTAGTAAGTAATTTTGGTCCCGTAATAAGGGGATCTTCTAATATGAAAACCAAATCGTCGGCGAATGCTTAGAGTTTATATTCTTCCCCTTTAACTTTTAAGCCCTTAATTTCCAAATCCTGCCTGATCGTCTTAAGAAGTGGTTCAAGTGTTAAAATAAAAAGCAGTTAAAATTTAAAAAAAAGAGGGCATCCTTGCCTGGTACCTTTATAAATCTATATCTCATCTGATAGTGATCCATTAAACAGTAACCTTGCCGACTGTTTAGAATAGATGGCTTGAACTGCCCTTGTAAATTGAGACCCAAACCCCATCACTTCCAATTGTTGTGTTATAAAATTCCAGTTGACTCCGTCAAAAGCCTTTTGGGCATCCAGAAAAATCATTACAATTGGTTTATCAGGGTGTGTCTCATAGTATTCTAAGGCATTCAATACTACCCTTACATTATCTCTTAGGTGCCTATGAGGTAGGAAACCATTCTGATCTTGGTGGATAAATCGGGACAGGAACACCCTGAGTCTCTCAACTAGTATTGTTGCAAAAATCTTGTAATCCACATTCAGGAGTGAGATTGGCCTATAGTTCTGGATCAGAGTTTTATCTGTATCTGGTTTTGGGATTAGGGAAATGTAGACTTCCGTCCAGGACTGGAGTATCCTAGAATGTAATAAAACCTCATTAAATAGATCTTTGATGTACAAACTAAGTGAGTCAAAGACTCCTTTATAAAATTCACTAAGAATCCCATTTGGTCCCGGAGTCTTGCCATTAGCTTGTTTCTTGATAGCTACTGCTATTTCCCCAACTGTAATTTCTGCATTTAAAATTTCTTTACAGTGATCTGGAATCAACTCCAATTGTAGATTCTGGAGATAACTCTTGAGTTTATCTTCCTGATAGATTTCTTGGCTATATAAGGAGGTATAAAAATCTTGGGCCACCTTTGCTTTTTGCTCTGTAGTACCTACCAAATTTCCCATAGAGTCCTGTAAAAATTCAATCTTTCCAAATTCTGCCTCTTTTCTTAATCTATATGACAACCACCAGCCCAGCTTGTTAGCATGCTCAAATTGATTTTGTCAACATTTCCGGATTTTATTCGCCAAATCGTTTTGGTCTAGGATAGATAACTCATGCCTAATCAAGTCAATTTTCTCCTTAATCAAATTATTATGCGGATCTAAACGCAGTTCTCCTTCAGTTTTCTCCAATTCAGCCATTAACTCAATCCGTTTGGCTTTCTCCTTTCTCTATTTGGTAGCTGTATATTTTATTACCAATCCCCTAACTACTGCTTTAACAGTATCCCAAATATTTTGAAGGGAAATATCTTCTCTCTTGTTTTCGGTAAAAAAATGATCTAATTCTTTTTTAATCATATTTATAAATCCCTCGTCTTTCATGATCTGAGCCCTCATAGACCATCTCGCTCTTCTAGTGGACCCCTTCCATTTTATTACCAGGGGGGGGTGGTCTGCCCATGTATTCATCCCTATTTCAACCGAATTTATGTCTTCTTTCAGATCTGATGTTGACCAGACCATATCTATTCTAGACCACGATCTGTGCCTGGGGGAGAAATATGTAAAGTGCTTTTGCATAGGATGGAAGTCTCGCCAGACGTCTTTTAACCCTATTTCTGTTTTTAGGTTATCCCATGTTTTAGGGAGTACCTTCCTATGCCCTTTTTTATATTTAGGAGAGCCCTTTCCTGGATTATAATCAATTGAAATATCAGCAATCGCGTTGAAGTCACCTACTATGCATAAATGCTCGTAATTTAATTCATTAATTTTCTTATACAAATCTTTAAAGAAACCCATTTGGTTAACATTAGGGGCATATATATTTACTAACAATACTATTTTTTGGCCAATACTAATCTCGTTAGATTAGTTAGATAGCGTTAGATATCTTTAAGGCCTTCGATTGTGTGAGCTGGCAAGCATTAAAGATGGTAATAGACAGAATGGGGTTTGGAAATAAATTTAAAGGTGTAATAGATCAATTATATTCTTGGAACTGTGCCTTAGTGGTAGTGAATGATGGAGTTACAGACAAGATACAACTCGCCAGAGGAACAAGTCAAGGGTGCCCACTCTCACCTGTCCTATTTGTATTGGTTATGAAACTATTGGCCAATGCATTAAGAGACGATGGGGAGATAGAAGGGATAGATAAAATAAAACTAAATATGTTTGCTGGTGATACATTGTTAACAGTTAAGAATATAATGGATAAGATGGAAAGATTTGGATGGCATCTAAAAGAATTTGAAGAAATAACTGGATTAAGAATAAATTGGTCAAAATCTGAGTTGATGCTGTTTAATTACACTAAAAGGGAAGAGAAGGATTGGGAAGGGAAGCGACGTGAAATGAGAATTAAAGATCATATTAAATACCTGGGAGTTAGAATTACAAAAAATTTTGAGAAGTTAGAAAAGGAAAATCTAGCCAGCTTAAAGAAGGAGATTTTGGAAAGTTTGAATAAATATAAAAGGTTGAATTTATCATGGTTTGAAAGAATTGCTTTAGTAAAAATGAAGATTTTAGCAAAGATTAATTTTGCTTTTAGGATGCTACCAATAATAATATCAGATTTAGAGTTAAAGAGTTGGCAGAATATACTGAATAACTATTGTAATGGGAATAAGAAAGTGAGGATAAATAGAAATAAGTGGTATCTCAGCCAAAAAAAAAAAAAGGAGTTTAGGACTCCCAAATATTAAATTATATTATGTCGCTAATAGGCTTAGACATGTTACAGAGGCGATTTTAGGAATAGGAGAATTGGAATGGTTGGAAGATAAATCTAAAATTAAAACCAAATTAGAATGGAAGCTGGAAAATATATTTTTTATGGAAGGTGGAAAGAAATGGGCTGAAAGCATAAACAATCCTCTCCTGAAGTTTCATTGGGAAATTTGGAGTAAATATAAAGGGAGGCTGCTTCCGAAGAACTCTCCATTATCACCGGTAGTAATCTTGGAAAAGTTCCCAGGGAATTTGAAGAATAAAGTGAATAAAATTTTAAAAGAAAAAAATAAAATGAAACTAAGGGAATGGTTAGGAGGAATGAGGACACGTGGGGAATTGGAAGAGGTTCTAGGAGGAAAACAGTTGTCTTGGTTAAATTACAGCCAAGTGGAACAATGTCAGGTTTCGATATCGTCTTCAAATAAAATAAATTACATTTCCAAACAGATAGTCTTTGAAGAAATCTTTCATTTTATTAAGCACGACAATCTGGCCCCAATCGTGGCGTAGCCAGCTCTGGCTTTCTGACCCCAAACCCTCCCTTTCCGTTCCCCAGATCTCTGCGTCTCATTGGCCTTCTTCCAAATCACTCTCCCCATATCTACTACCTAAGCTCCCAGGAATGCCCCCTCTCCCTCTCATCTCCTAGGGGATATTATCTTCAAGGAAAATAAGTAGGTGAAGTGTCAAGCCTCCTCTTGCCAGCTGGCCGCTCTTCTTCTTATGTCAGCACTAGAGTAAATGCAGGTTGAAGTGCTGACTTCCGGCCCTTCCCCCTTCATTTTTCCAGGGTGGCCTGTGTAAGACAAACAACAAGTTAAGTACCGTTACCCCATCCGGGGGTATGTGCCCCGCCCCCTCCCGCCTTGCCCAGGTGATCTGCATGGAACTTGGCTATAAGGCCAAGCTTGGATGTTTCTGCTTTTCATCCAGGAAGCCTCTGACAAGGGGTAACCCTTCCACTTGATTAAGTATTGGAGGTGACCCCTGTGCCACCTTGAATCGAGAATTCGCTGTACCTCATAGTGAGTATGGCCCAGTGGTGGGTTGCTCCCGGTTCGCACCGGTTCTTGAGAACCGGTAGTAAAAATCTCTCATTGTTCGGAGAACCAGTAGTAGTTGCTGGCTGGCCACACCCCCAAACTGGTTCCTCGGCCGCCATGTTCATCACCGCCATGTTCTTTGCACATGTGCATCCTATTGTCTTGCAAGTCCAATGGACTTTGCATGTGCAAAGAACATGGCAACAAAAGCAGATGCTTTTTGGCAGCCTGCGGAGAAAGTGGCTGGCCAAAAAGCCTTTTCGGAGGCTTTCTGGCCAGTCACTTTCCAGCAGCAGCGGCTGACTGGGGGCTGCCAAAAACTCGGATTAGCTTGCCTTCCCGACTCTGGACCAGCCGCCGTGGAAGGTAAGCAGCCGAAAAAAGAAGCGGTGGTGGGGGAGGAAGGTAAGGAAGTGGGCCTGGCCATGGGGCCACCGAGAAGGTAGGCAAGCATGTCGGGGCCACTCGACTAGCTAGATCCCTTCCCCATGGCCCTACCATGCTTGCCTGCCTTCCAGCCCGGCCAGTGGGGGGCGGGTGGCCCTTCAGGGAGACGGAGCCGCTGTGCTGGAAGTGAGAGGGGCAGCAGCAGCGGTGGTGCTGGGGGTGGGTGGCTCATTCTCTCTCTCTCTCTCTCTCTGTCACACACACACACACACCCTGCCCTGTTGCCTCCACTGCCCCTTCTTTTGCGTTGGCTTCTCGCCTCTTTTAAAGTTGATCGTGAAGCGGCAGCGGAGCTGACAGGGGTTTGTGTGTGTATGTGTTTGTTCTTCTGCGGTCCTCTCCCGGGGGACAGCCAGGGCTTCGCCGCCTCCTCTTTCCTTCAGAGGGGCTGCCTCCAAGTCCTTGCGAAGGGATAAACACACACACACATCTCTGACTTTGCACAATGACTTAGGGGAGATCTAAGGAAACGTCTTCCAGTTCTTCACGATCAACTTTAAGAGAGGTGAGACTTCCGGTTTGCTGCTTGTCGCCGCCAGACGTTCTTTCGGGATCGTCAGCCCCACTGCCTGTAAAGAGCCGCCTTCACAACAGAATGGCGGCTCGAAAAAACTCCGTTTCCATGAGGAAATGGAGATAGAGCCGGCTGGGGTGAGTAGAGCTCTCTGCATCGTCCCAAAAGTTTTTTTTTTTACTTTTGGGACGGAGTGGATGAGACTCCCCATATCCCGAGCCGTTGCTCCGGGCTTTGGGAGACCTCTGCTATATGCAGAGCTAGGCGTCAAGAGCAAGCCTGCAAATTTAACAGATTCATTAAAGAAGACGTGAGCTGGACCTGTGATCCTGAATCGCAAGTATTTTACTTATTTTACAAAAGCTATTTAAGAAGGAAAAAAAGGAAAAGGAAAAAAAAAGATTCTTAAAATGGCGACTGCCGCGGCTTGAGGAGAGGCTGAAAGGGAAAGTCCTTCCGTTTTCTATTATTACAATGTAGCGGAATTAATACCTTTGGCTACAATTGAAGACAAAACTTCACTTTCGTGTTTTTTTTTTTCCTGGAGAGCTGATATTGCTCTTGGTTGGAAAGAAGTTTTCTTCTCTTTTCTAATAAAGTTTGTCTGGGCGGAAACATGGCATTGAGACTTATAAAGTCAGACAAACAAGCAGTGGGGGGGGGGATTCCCCCATTAACAAATTACAAGAACGTTCCGGGTTTTTCTGCCACCGGCGAAGACAGTCGTTTTTGAAGGACCGCCAGCCCCGCCGCCTGTGGAGCCGCTCTGAGTGAGGGGAGCGGCTTGAAAACTCCTAAATCCTGAGGATTCGAGGAGAAGAGTGAAGCAAGAGGCAGGTCGAGCCCCCTGTGAACCCCCAGAAGTCTGCTACTGGGGAGGAAACGGGCGCGGCTCCCTTTCAACTTGCGGAGACTCCGGACGGCGTGGGACGACTCTGCCTGTCAGAGCAAGCCGGCTGCAGCAAACATTTAAATTGATGGAAAAATAACTTTGCTATAAAACAACCTCAACCCCTAAACCAAGAAACTGCAAGTATTTCTTTGTTTTTGAACTTCTGATTTGGGAAAAGGCTAGAGTGAGCGGAAACGGCTTGAAAAAAAATGGCACCGTTCCAGCGTTAACGAGCTGAAAGGGAGAGTGATCTTGCAAAGTTATTTCAATAAGCTACATTGTAGCACTGCTTGTAGCAAGCGAACAGAGAAGAGTGGAAGAAAAAATTCCTTTTAAAATAAACCTGAGCTTGCTTCAGCTTATTCAATTTCTAATTTGATTAAATCTGGGGGACTTTTTCAAAGGACTTTGTGGAGGTGCAAAGGAAAAAAGACTTCCTTTTTTCAGAAAAGTTAATTTACGTGGCAGAATGGCTTCAAAGAAACAGGAAGGAAAGGCTGCAGGGGAGGGATCTCCCACTCATAAATCGGAACAGCAGCCCCCTCCCAGTCAGCAGGGTGAGGGAAAGGACTTTGATGTTCAAAGTTTGAAGGACTTTATTACCCAGGCTCTGGATGATAAATTTCAAAAATCACAACAGGAAATGAAGAAAGAAATTAATGAATTTAAAGAGGCAATGAAAGAGAATTATGACAAGGTGTCTGACAAATTGTCAAATGTGGTTTCTGATTTGGCAGAAACCATTACCAAAGTGGATTCCAAATTGGAAGAATTTAAATCAGAAGTTAATGTTAAAATGAAGGATACTGATTCTAAAATTGTTGATGTGGATAATAAAGTGCAGAGAGTTGAAAATGAAATTACAATGATACAGTTTCGATCCATGGAATTCGCTATTAGGCTTCGAGGAATAAAAGAGAATGATAGGCAAGATTTGAGACAGATTTGTTCTGATGCCTTGGCTGTATTGTTAAAAATTGATCCAGCAGATGTGGTCTATAAAATAGACAAAATTTATAGAGTAAATTCATGGGTGGCTAGACAAAGAAAATTACCCAGAGATGTGGTGATATATTTTACTGATAGAAGAATAAGAAATGATATTTTGCAAAGATCCTTTCTTTCCTCTGTGCAAGTGGAGGGAGCTCAAATTGGAGTCTACAAGGAATTACCACGTAAGATGTTAAAAGATCGAAAAGAATATAGGTTTCTAGTGAATGAATTGCAAAAGCAAGAAATACCATTCCGGTGGGATGCCCCAACTGGTATAATTCTGAAATATAATGGAGAGGGACACCGATTGAATACTTTTCAGAAGGCGGAATATTTTTACTATAATATTCTTAAAGAAAGATCATCATCCCCACGTACATCTACAATGTTGGAGATAAAAAGTGATAAGGAAAAGCAATTTCAGTATGAGAGGGAACAACAGTCCAAGCAGACGGAATTAGTGGAAATGCAGGGAGCTGTAGGAGGAGGAGGCCTTATGGAGGAATCCCTGCTAGAATCTTCACCAATTTTGTCAACAAGAGATGCTGCTTTGGATCTAGCTCGGATGCCTGAAGTTAAGGACCAGCGTATAACTCGTGCAGTCTCCAAGCAAATAAAAGAAAAACAACAAGAAAGTCAACATAAAAGGGGAGCTAAAAGCACCACACAAAGTGAAGCTATGGGGGGAGCAAGGCCGAAGACCTCAGAAGAAGCGAGGCAAGGCAGCTCATCGCTTCAGAAAGGTCAAGATGACAATTAGGCTCTTATCTTGGAATGTTAACGGATTAAATTCACCACAAAAAAGGAAGAAGTTATTTACATATCTGAGACAATTTAATAATGACATAATTTGTCTACAAGAAACTCATATTCGAACTCAAGATCACAAATACCTGATAAACTCTAAATTAGGAACACATTTTATAGCTTCAACCTCGGAAAAAAAGAATGGTGTGGTTATTTATGTAAATAAAAGATTGTCTGCTAAAATTATAGAAGCAGATGAAGGTGGTAGGTTTATTGCAATTGAATTGCATACAGCAAACGGCCAAATTCTTTTGATTGGAATTTATGCTCCGAACCAACAACAGGATCATTTTTATAAGACTTTACATAATAAAATATTGCAATGGGATTACAGATCTATTTTAATAATGGGAGATTGGAATTGAGTAATTGATTCTAAACTAGATAAAAAGAGTTTGGCGAAAGTAAGGATCAGACTACCACAGACTTTTTTTGATATGAAAGAAGATTTGGAATTAAAAGATATTTGGAGAATTTATAACCCAAAAGAATTGGACTATACTTTTTTCTCTGATAGACATAGATCTTTTTCCAGGATTGACTTTATCTTGTTATCAGATGATTTACTTGTTAAAACAAAAAGAACAAAGATATTTCCAAGAACTTTAACTGATCATAGTTCTGTATGGATAGAAATTGAGATGGGAAAAACTGAGAGAAGGTCATGGAGATTAAATGAAAATTTGTTTAGATATGAAAAAAATATAACAGAACTTAAAAAACAGATGAAAATTTTTTTTGAGATGAACTTGAATAAGGGCACCCCAATTGAAATTGTATGGGATGCGAGTAAAGCGTATATGAGAGGGGTACTCATTTATATGAACTCTAAACACAAACAGAATCGACAAAAGAAAAGACTCGAATTGGAAGTAGAAATAAAGAATAAGGAACAGCTACTCATTAAAAACCCAACAGATGAAAGAATATCTGGTGCTATAAAACTTTTGAAAGATCAATTTCAAATGCTTTTGGCGGAGCAAGCTGCAACAAACTTACAATATGTGAAGCATAATACGTTTTGTAATGCTAATAAACCGGGAAGATGGTTGGCCTACACCTTAAGGAAGAAGCAGAGTATACGGACTATTGAGAGTATT